GGAGAAAGCGCAGAAGGGTGCAGGCAGTTATGTAACCGTTGGCCATGCCAAGCTTGGGGCTTGCAGGAGGTTCTTTTGCGCGCACAGAACCGGCTCCTTCAACCGTATAGCGGTTGTTTCTGCTGTTGCTAGCACACGATGGCCCACCGATTTTGGGTAGTTTCACGGGACCTTGTAAATTTCCCTAAAGGCGTCGCTGGGGCCCACACGGTGTCGGGAGTCAACCATGTGTAGAAGGATAGAGCTGATGATGCTTTTTCTGTAGTAATGAACATAATTACCAGCATGTTAACTTTTACGCCCTCTCTATATAAATATAATGGCCCGAGGAGAATTTTTCGAAAGCTACGTATGCTTGTCATATATTCTTCTGAATTAACTGAAAAACTTACCTGAAGCAAGCTAAACCCAATTAACTAAAAATAATCCAAAACTAAAATAAAATATTAAACATAATGACGAACTTAAACCTAAACTACAAAACCAACTTAAATATAAATGAGTTGAATAAAGAAAATAAAATGAACTAAAGTAAAGTTGTTGCGCATGTAAAATTAAGGCGTGCGCGGTGCTTCGCTACGTGAACTATGCTAACCTAACCAGAACGCTTAGTTAAACTCCAGGTAGTTTGGATTAGACGACCTTTCAATACCCACGATCTAGAATGTCGTGGTATACTCGAGCCACTTATATTCAGTTATACCGAAGAGTGTGCTGATTTTTCGCCCTCACTTTCCATGTCTTCTAAGCACCAGTAGACAGCCCGAGTCTGTCTGTCAATTGGTGATGACACTGAGCGCAGTAGTTGACGTGGCACGTAGGTTTGCATTTAAGACCCACCACGACACGCATTTACGGTCCTAAATATAGGCTCCAACCGACTGATTATACGTAAGGTACGCCACCTAGTACTAACCCTACCCTCCCATCTCGGTCTTATAGTGTGTTTATGGGAGGAGGGCAGGGAAAAACCGCTGACTCATCGTAACTCTCCCAACAGCAAATCTGCTATAATACTCCTGACTGTCCGCTAACTAGCAAACCAGATTGCATGAAAGACGTTTCCGCACGGGTAATCAGCCGACTGCCCTAAGCTAGTTGGCAAAGTAAATTGAAACTTAACTCCCCTCAGTTGCCAACACGTCAAATACCTTCTTCATGCAAGAATTTGATTACGAGTACACCAGCTCAACTTACAAGAAATCCAGCCGCAAGATGGGGTCCAGTTTAGGTGGTGTGCTGCAAATGTTTTCTTTGCGCGTATTTATTGAAACCTCTGACCATTCTTCCACCCCTCTCCGCCAATAGGCTTCCTACAAAACGTGGATGCGAGGGCTTAAATACCTTTCAGGAGTAAGAACTCCTACTATCACCTAGCTATTCCTTTTATTGCAGTGCCCTGGAACCGGAAGACACAGGCAAACGGCTGTCCATTGAAGTCTGGGACTGGGACCGCACTTCGCGCAATGACTTCATGGGCTCACTATCCTTTGGTGTCGGTGAGCTGAAGAAGGCTCCAGTCAGTGGGTGGTTCAAACTCCTCACTCAGGAAGAGGGCGAATTCTACTCGTCACCTTGCATCGACGAGGCCAGTGCTGCTCTTATTGAACTAAGAAATAAAGCCAAGGTAAGTGTGCACCTAATGTTCGTCTACAAAAAGAACTTTCAAGGAGTATGCTTAATCAGTAATGCGGGCGAAAGGAGAATCCTATTGGAAGTTAGCACTCCTATCTACCATCTCATCCGAAAGTGCCTGTTTTTTTCCAACCAAACCCCTTTTCCTAAAGGTTGGGCTCTTCAGAACAAGGCGCTCATTTGAACAACGTTTCGAATTCACTATTCCAACCGTTATCAAAGACTCTAGTATATAAGGGACGATAACCGCACACGAGGGTGCAGCTTTAAAATGCCAGTACATAAGTATCATAATCAGTACCTCAAGTATTCACCGCCAGCGGTCGTACTTGGTGGTGTGAGGGCTGCTTGCTCGTCCATCTTCGATTCGTTAAGTGTCGTAATCTTGTCACTGTCGCTCATCAAACTAAAACTGGGATCTGTGTTTATCCGCGGGTCTCCTTGTGATCTTAGAAGCTGGCTGGTAAATATAGAACAAAACTGTTGCAAATTATGTAAATTAGTATATTCATTTATGATAGACTGCTTACAGAGGACGAACAGACATTAAAATCTTCGGTAGATAGTATTACCGACTGACACAAGGGAGACTGGAATCGTCAGTTCCCTTGACTTTGCCGGCAATACTCTCTGCCTAAGACTACTAGCCGCTACGGCTGCTGTGAGGGTCCGCGAAATGAAACCCAACACAGAGCGGAACAAGTGAGTTCCGCTAGCGGCCAGTGAACGTTCATTAACGAATGTCAATATCTCCCGACTCAAAAAAGGCATGGCAGCGACCTCGTGACTCAATGGTTATGGCGTTAGACTCTGATCAAAATGTCGCGAATTTGAGCCTCGAATGGTGCACTATTTGTGGTTGGGTATGACTAGTTGACGATGGCTAATTAGCCAGAAATGGTTACTTCAGTCTCCGTTGTCTTTGCCAGCAATACTATCTGCCTATATTACTAGCCGCTGTAGTTAATGCCAGGCCCCGAGACAAGTGAGTTCCCTTTGCGGTCAACGAGAATAAAAATCTTCGTTCGAAGATGGACATAATTGTTAGCTCTGGTCGAACTACCAACATGGCCAGCTAGCGCTTGCATTTTAAATGCCGGCGACAGGTTATGCTCATCAGTGTAAAGTTCTACAACGACCCCGTGAACGCTTCGACGAACTTGGGGTGACCGTAAATCTACGACGTGCGTCTCTGCCGGCAAGGCCTCGTTAATTCCCTAGTGCGGCTTAATAAACGCCTGACCTGGCAGTCTGGCCGGTATACACCTAAGAAGGCAGTACTGGAGCAGAGACAGCAGGAGAAAAAACAGGAGTGCTCTTCATCCCTCCAGAGTGTCGGAGTGGATGAAACACCTGCCACGTTTGATGTGACCGCCACCCGCCGCCCATAAACCCAGCTGTGACACTTCTTTTCCCTTGGCTACTGGTCGCCGGTTGGTAAGTCGGAAATAGCCTCTGATATGCCCAAATGCAACAGCATGGTCGCCTACTTACCCACCCGCTCAACACTAGAATTCGACATTTACTTCTTTCCTCTTCGATTTGTCAGTACTCTGTGAATAAGCAGAGAAAGAATAAAACGTAAATGTATCCCCATGAGTATATTGCGCATTCTCACCTCCGGAAACGGTTACTTGGCCACAGAATAAAATCCATTTCCGTTCTGCCGTTTTTAGAGGAAGTCGGCGGAAACGGTAAACAGCAAACTCCAGAGCATAAAGTCCGCATCGAATCTGCACAAACAGGACATTCCTCGCCCCTCTGATTTTAACTTTCGTGTGGTGCTTGGCAAAGGCAGCTTTGGAAAGGTAAGGGTCTTTACGTGATTACTTAAACTAATGATCCGAGGGAACTGTAAAAGTAATTTAGGTGTTCTATGATAGTATAAAGTGTTGCATACCAAACTTTACGCACAATCAGTAGGCAACTCACCACACGACGGCCGCAGACTTTTTTAAACTTATGAAAAATACAAGTTTTTAAGGCGAATTTCAACGCGAACCCTCATTACTTGTGTTGACACTCATCCACCAAGGTTCTACGATGATTACTGTAGGTCTAGGTTAGACTGAATTCCTTCATAGATCGCTTTTGAGCGTAGGAATGCAGAAAATACCGTTCACTAGACGGCATTGATAGATTTCAACATTGGACAAAATTTTGAAGTAAATGGGAATGCGCCCCTCGCCTCGAAAAAAAGCATTCAGTTTCAAATTTATTTTTAAGGAAAGCCTATTATCACGAAACAGTCAACACAACTTGGAAATTTCTCTAACTACTGTGTTAAAGCGTTTAGTGTTGACGTTTTGATTTTTTTATGACAGGTAGGACATCTGAGTAGAGTAATTCATGTCTTCTCACATGAATTTCACTTTTGGTCTGCGTGTGAATCTAAGTTTTCGCCTTTCACCGTTCTAAAACACAAGAGTGCTCAAGTCAAGCTGTTGTCCTGTAGTTGGAGTGACTGAATAGAACATCCCGGGTATGGGCGCTGCTATGCAGTTTTTAGTCAGTTAATTTTAAGGCGTAATCGTCAAATTTGCTCTTATGTGACTTGGTGACGGCAAGGTTGTCTGCCAGTTAGAGAGAAATACGCTTTATTTTTAAAGGTGAATACTCGAGATATTCAGTGAAAATGGCTCCATTCACTGAAACCAAGGGATAAGGTAATAAAATAGTCAAAATGGAGATGTTTACTTGAAATCCACGTCTATTATGGAGGCCGGTCTAAGTTAAGCTTTCGGATTTCCGTTTCATTACACGTAAGGTAGCCAGCTGGGTATGGGAAAACAGAATGCTGGTACGCCGATGTATGGCAGGACATATGTCGAAGACTTCAGTGTATAGTACGGAAAGACCTCGCAGCCATTAGTTCAGAGTGAAGTGGATGAGCAACCTCATCAATAATGCGATCAACAAATTGTTTAACCGTTTTAAACTGTCGCTATATTATAATATCAGTTAAAATGCATGATAAACACTGGCAGCTGAAGAGAGAATTCGGAGGAAAAGTTTAAAACTCAAGAGATTTTTTAATGCGAGACTGGAGCAATAATCGGAGAGCAACAGAGAATGAGAGGGAGAATGCAGGCATTTATAAAACGTCAGATTAGGACTTGAGGTACTTGGTATGAACGTTACCGACGGATAATATATAGTAGTATATGAATTTTAACGAAGAAGGCTTCTCTGTGAAGAATAACTGAAAGAATAGATGTCAGATTAACACTAAGGTACCAAAAAGGATACCTAATTGGGCAGGATGTCTAAGGAGTCAGGACTGGGCTTGATTCACAATCGGAAAACGGACTGTACTGGCTTTTGCTTACTTAGTAGACGACAATTGGCTAACGAACGTGATGAGACGTGGTTCAGACTATCTTTCAGTATCTGAAAAATGTATCTGAATTTTGAGAGGATGACCAAGAATCATATTCTCAGCCTATTTAACATACATCCCTTCATCTGGTGATCAAAGGTCGTCAGTGTGGAAGGAGAAGAGGTGAGGCGATAAAATAGACCTTTGAAAAACTCCACATTTGTTGGGAAGGACCGTGCATTTTCGCTTGCCGCATTGAGAAAAAAATAAGTGCGGGCAGTAGACTTGTCACCAAGCAAAGATACAGCCCAGCCGGATGAGTCGCGTGTTGACGTTTTACTAAGAAACACATAATGCGGGATAGTAAGGCAACCCTTATCTAAGTCTCTTAGAGCAGAATTGACTACAAGAGCAACGGCGTCTTGAGTACTACGCCTGATCTTATATGCAAATCGCAGGCGATCGATGAACTCGGACGAGAACGGTGTGATTGTATCTAAGACAACTCGTTATGTAAGTTTCAGTAGTGCGGAAATGCAGTTTTGGTGTCCTTGAAAGTCTGTCATTACTGCTTCCAAAAGTCAAACCTTTCGACAAAACGGCCCAAATGAACATGCATTTATCGGACATCACACGTCCGGGATTTTTGAAAGTAATTTTAGACAGCGTCGAGGGTGATCAAGTTGAATCTTCACAAAGTCCGTAAAATGCATCTTTTTTGGTTCAGCTTTCGAAGAAACAGATTTTTTCTACGAAAAATATATTGTTCAAGACTTGCAAATCTCCGTCTTTGTAGGCGTATTGACACTGTTAACCAAAGATTTTTCAACTATTGCCAAAGTGAAGCACCCATTGAGATCTTTAGGATAGGAGGCATGACCATGAACACGCGCTTAGCTAAACTGACTATGAACAGCCAAGTGGATTATAACCATTTAGAAACTAATGGGAAGCATAGAGACGAAAAAATAGATGCCTGGCTCTAGGTTGCATCTTAATCTTGGTCGCTCGCAGAGCATCTTCCGGCAAATAATGGTTGGAAAAAAGTAGCTGTTAACTTCAGAGTTAATGGAATTACCCTTACTTTTGCGTCAGATATGGATGATTTATCCCCTAAATAAATATAATGGAAAATTTTAAAGTGAAGCGACGTGCGAAGATAATTGAC